GGTTGACAGGAGTTTACACTCAGTAGTATACTAAAAAGAGAAATATGAATTATAAATGGGAACAGCTTCAAATTATTTGAACAGATCAAAAGCTGCCTACTGAGCACGTATTGACAGAAAATAGTAATATAAGCTGAGGTAGGCAGTCGCCGATGAGCAATCAGTATTTATCAGAAGCACGATTTGGGTTGTAATTGCAATAACAATAACGGCAATGAGCAGTCTCCTGATCAATGCCTCTTTTATACCTCGCCTTCGTCCGCTCAAGCGGTCAGTCTGCAACCTCTCCCACAGCTTCTCCTTAGAAAGCTACAGTGACCTTAAATTTCCTACGGTACCTTTCGCGAGCAGTCCCGATAGATTTTGCAAAATTGAGAAGTGATAGATTGAGCGTTATTAGATTAAGAACATCAGCAACGGTAAAGAGTTTCTCGGTGGCTGAACACGACTACTAAATTTGGTCCTAAATTCTTGCAGAATTTCACAGTTGTATTCTATTTTTTTTTCTTTTGAGCAATCTGTACTGTTGCAGTAATTTTATCTTCGTGGTCTGAATGGTCAGAATGTTCAGTAACATGTGGAGCTGGATACGAGGTGCGACGAAGACTTTGCATAGACTGCAGTCCGAAGATGCAGCGAAGACGTTGCTTTAAAGTAGTTTAATTTGATTATTCATAGCGCTATCTAATTACAACCTGTTTTATCAGTAAAAACAGTGAAGATTGGTAAAAATCGATAAAAACAAAAAACGACAGTTTTCTCTTATTGTTTTACTAGTCATTAAAACCAGCGAGCTGGGATTTTGAAATAAAATTCAATCAACTTCAGGACTGTGAAGCACAATGGAGTGGATGGGGAGAATGGAGTTTGTGCGGTGAGACATGTGGAGTTTCCACGCGATTTCGATATCGCTACTGCGAAGGCCTTGATTGCCAAGGTATGTTGAACTTTTAAAATTTAATGCCATTATTTTTTTCTTTTATTTAAAAGTTGACAAAATAAGAAGTAACAGCTATTTTGTAATTTAGATTTGCTAAGAATTTATTGAGACAACTCTTGTAGGAAACTCAGTAGAGACCGAGTTATGCAGGCTACCCCCGTGTACAGTAAGTAGTCTGACTGATAAATTCCAATATTCTGGACAGTGGTCTGAGTGGACCGTTTATGGAAAGTATGGTTTAAAAATAGCAAAACATTATATGTAAAATTAATTTTCAAAATTATTTTTGAAATTTGTTTCAAATTTTTCTATTTAAGTTTACCAATTCTAACTTTACCAATTCAAATCACTGTTAAAAAAAATTGAAATTTTTTGAAAATAACCTAGAAATTGCTAACAAGCAAACAAATATCTTGTTTTAACCTGACAAGATTTTCTATGTCTCGTAACAGTAAGGCTTATTTCAGATGTTCGGTATCGTGTGGTAAAGGGGTAGTTAAAAAAAGACGAAAATGCACTGGTAAAGGTAGCTGTATTGGTCCTCCAGTTGCTTTTGGTAGCTGTGTTATGCCGCCGTGCTGGTCAAGCAAAAAGGAGAGGCTACAACGATCGTACAGAATTAAAAAGTATTTTAATAAAGCAGATATTGCTTTCAATGCAGCTAGAACTGTTTAATAATGTTCACTGCCCAGCTAAAGTTTGACTGGTAAATTTCACAACTGCTGATGTCTTTCGAGGCAGGAAACGTTGACTAGAGTAGACTTGAAAAAATTAGATTCTAGCAAAAAGAAATGGCCAATGCTTTTTGCTCTTTTTTGAAATTCAAATCTGTTCTTCAATTATAAAAGGCCAATCAAAACAAAGATTGCTCTTATGTTTCTGAATATATCAGATGAGCATAATGACAGTAAAAGTTTTCGTGGACAACTACAGGTGTTGTATGAGTAAAGTTTCGATGTCTTTTATTGATGATTTCTATGCGGCGGTTAAAATGACTGGTTTTTTTGTTCGTCATACTGCATCTCTGAAACCAAATCTATTTGTTTCAATGAAAATTTTTTGGTTAATTTTAAAAAGTTATTCAAATTTTTAGCACTATACTGAATGCCACAAAGGCGTTGTTATATTATCTGATCAAGTAGGTTTGCAGCTTTCAGCGAGTTATATTTATCACTTATTTTCTCTGCAAAATTGCTGCTTCTTTGGTATTTTGTTTATAAAATTAGTACTGGATTGTCAGCATCGTTGCTTTTTCGACGTAACCATGTTTAATTTGTTCAAAAACAATTGTTACCTGTTAAAAGTTTATT